CCCTTCATGCACCTCTGCTGCCCGTGCCTCGCCTCCCCCGCTGCAGGTTCTCAGGACTGGGAGGCGCAGAAACTCGGGACGGTCCGTGCCTGTCCCTGGTGCTGATACGGCAGCTGTTGTTGTGACGACGGAGGGCAGGCTTGGAAAGTGTGTGCTGAGGCAGAGACAGTGGCGGCGGTAGCGCCCGGAAAGGATGCGCAGCGGGAAAGATGGTTAGTGGTGTGAGCGCAGAGCTGGGGCTGCTGATCTTTACTGTTGCTCACTGTTGCCTGGGAGGTCACATCCCCTCAAAAACAGGTACAGACAACATATCACACCTTTCTTACATCATTGCATAAGACTTTACATGTTGGGCACGATGCCATGTCTCTACTTTAGCGCATTGGACCTCCCCTCTTCACAAGTACCTGCAACGGGCCCCATACCCTATATTAAGATTCAATTACCAATCTTAAGCGTCTCTGTTACAGGACATTGTTCAAACTTCTGAGAAAACCATTTGTACCATCCTGCTCCAGGGGTACGTCTCAAATACAAGTTTCTGTGCCTAATTTGACAGCAAGTTGCAGATATTAGCAGGTACCCTGGTGTGAGGGGTCCCACCATGCTATAAAGTAGATGGACTCGTGCAATGATTTGCATAAATAACATGCTCCTCCGTTTGCAAGACTTGTTGGAGAGACCGTTAAATACTGCATCATGGCGTGATTATTTGGCCACCCTGACATCGTGCAGGATGTAGTAGTATTTTGATTAATTCACTTATCGACGGTATGTAATGGGAACAAGAGGCCACTATGGGTATTTCATTTGGATCTCTTTCTGTGAAGGTGGCTAATATTTCTATTATCTATTTCAACTAAGCAACACGTCTTCATTTTTAAATACTATATCAGCATCCTTCTGCAATGTCATGTATCATGTTTCCATTTTAATTGATTGAAACGCCCTGACCCGTCTCTGTAGCCTATCACTGGACAACTCTGAAAGCATTGGTGTCGATTTGACCATGTAATGTCTGCCTCATCACAGACCACTCTTCGGGGCCTTCCGAGCAGCGGGGATACAGAATAAAGAGAGAAAACCAGACGGATTCCACCGTGCCCCTCCGACTGCGGACTTCTAACGACACTGAACCCGCGGATCACTTATCGACCAGATTGAAAGACCAATACAGAAATGATCGCGTAAGGCACTATTTTTGTTCTACCCTTCGTGGTGTGATTGATTCCCGGTGCCCGGTGTATAGGGGCAGGGGCCCCCGCTCCCACAATCGCACCTTTCAAGAACCCTCATCGATTTTCACTTTTCTACCCGAAATGAAGCTAGCTGTTTGTGCAGATCATGTTCTTTTGAGGCTTAACACGGCGGCATCTCTACTCTGCTACTTTGGCGGTTACGTAGATAAAGGAGTAGCCATTAGCCTCAACCTATCCATTACTAGTATCTTACACAGGCATGATATCAGAGAGGATGGCTAAACGGCAGTATTGTTTCTAAGAGATGTTGTCTTTTTACGATAACGGTATTATCAAATAGTTATGAATATGACAAATCAAATCACTAGGCAATGGGATGAAGCCTTCTCAATTTTCCTAACGTAACACTTTTTTATAGACTTTTCCTAACAGCCAAGACCTCTGACAGATATCAAGAATATTTGCAGATTGTGAACCAGTCAATCAAGTTGTTGACGCTGCTTCTCTCTCTCTCTTTACAGTTGCTACACACGTCTCGTACAAGCTTTCTCGTGCCGGCCTTTGGAAGACAGTTCGTCTTGGACTTGGAGCTAAACCAGTAAGTGGGCCTCCCTACATTAATAATGCATTACACGGAGCGGACTGCTAGCCCGATAGCAGCGCGTCAGCATAGAATGGCGATGGAAGTAGTGCACATTCGATGGGGGACTAGGACGAGCCTTAATGCTAGTACTGAAGTATCTGTTATAGCGTCTCGTACAAATCTTCTAGTCCTCTTCAGATATCTTGTCCTCTCCCTGGAGTAGTTCTATAGGAAGGTAGATGTGTTTGCCTGGTGCAGTAGTCATCATGCAAATTTATCGACCCGCACTGTCAGTAACTCTTATTTTTCTTAAGAAGAAGACATGGCATTTAGAGTACGACATGTATCATCATAACTTACTATCAAGCTTTCTAGATATGCTGGCTCAAGTGTTTTGGCAACTGTTTACTTTCTTGCTTAAGGATTGGAATATTCCAACAATATCGACACCTAGATTATATGATTATGTCAGGAAATTGTTGATATTCCATCAAAGAGCACGTTTCTTCGTTGAGATAAGTTTTGCTCCCGCCGTTCGTATCACAGCCACTTATTAGCAGTGATTGTCCCTCGGTCTTTTCGCCTGGAGGGCCGGGCTAGTTGTTATAGCTCAAAGGGAATGTCAAGTGTGGTCCATTTACTCCATTACCCCGGGTTAAACGGTTTATCTGTGACGTGTGCTCTGTGAGCAGACGGTAATCAGGGCCGAGATATCTGCTGTAATTTTCCGCAAATGTTGATGGACGTCCTGTCCAGATGCCGGGATCATCCCTTGTAGTGTGAAGCCAAGTCCATTGGCGCCGCCGCTGATTCAATTAATCCTTATCTAGTGACGTGTATTAAGAAAATTGGTTGATGATATCGAAGTGGGGAGCGAGGGTGGGCACCCATGTTGTTTGGAATGTCCCGTGGACAATGGGAACCCAGCAGCTACATACAGGCTTATAGATAAGGCCGCAGCAAGTAAATTTTATAGATGTCATCCTCCGCAGACTCCAAATCTAATGCAAACGGGCGAAAAAAAAACAAGGCGGGCCGAAAAGGTTCCTACAATTTGAAATTTTGACTCAGTCATTGTACAAATGGTTTTGATTCAGTGGGAACATCACATATACACAGCCAGCATCACATATCACTGCATCAAAGTAAAAACAAAACATTAAATCAGAGCCTTTTCTTGTCTCCTCTCTTCATAGTTATCTGCCATCCACCTTCCGGCATGGCAACAGACATCTTTGCCCATTTTTTGGCATGTTGACCACTGTCAGGAGGCAACCATTTTTTTCTCCCAAAATCAGGCGAAAATTAATGCTCGTGCTGATGTCATCCATAAAAATTACTTGCTGTGGCCTAAGCGATATACGCTCACGTGATGAGGGATGCTGCACCTTCCTTATGCTCGGTGGGAACATGTTGAACTTTCCACGGGTTGGCAAATTGATTGATGTGCCACATCTGAGGGGCGTGCCAAATTACTGGTTTCTTTGCTGTGCTGTGGCATATAGAGACTAATGGTCAATTTAATTTGCCAACGATAGGAATTTAAAAAAGCTTCTTTTGGCGTACACAATTAATGAACAGAAAAGGTTAAAGTATCAGGACAACATGGTTTATAAAAGAACAAGAAAAAAAAAAACATGCAAAAATCCCCATCAGTCGAGGTTCACATTATACAGTCAAGACGTGTGTATAAACAGATATTCCGAAGAGGCAGATAGTAAATGGTTGCAGGGGAATGTTCTGGAATGTAAGCCTAAGCGTGGTGCTGTAGCCGCGGCCTGTGTTCAGGGGAGTCCCGGGTGTTTCCAGGAGTATGGCTCGAACTCATGCTAATTGATTGTCGTACAAATGTTTACCAGAACGCCATGGATGTCCTAATAAAATAATGATGATACCAATGACGCCATGTCAGCAGACCTGTGCTTATATCATGGAATAGAAAACCTGGCTAGATTCACAGAAATCTGAACACGTATGCCGACAACGGATGTGGTTTGAATCCGATGCTATTATTCTCTCACTTATCTCGTAATCTGTATGATATTGGTATTTTCACATACCACAAGTATGGATCTATTTACATTCCGGGGAATCATTCCCACCCGCTGCGTAGTTAGATGTTTAACTCCCAGTCCCCACAGTGTTAGTGAACACAGTTGAGTATGTGTGTGCCTAGCCCCGTTGGGGTGCCCCTGCCCAGCGGCATCAGTATGCGAGCGAGCCGGTCACGTCTATTTCTTGGCGATTACAATGCGTTTTTCCGCGCCCCAGGGACCCGGATGACGTTTTTATACGTTATAAATCAAAGGGCCGCTCGATTGTTCTCACGGACGTGAGGAGGGGGCTGACGAACCGAGCGCTGTGAACCGTCATTAGGCAAGAAATTCTTCTTTCTCTCGTACCATGCGGGTGCGTAATCGAAAAATTGCAGATAATTGCTTTTAAGTGCCACTTAAACTCTGGGATCTCATTTTCAGATTACAAGATTATGTCTTGATACTCCTGCCCCTAAGATTAGCCACACTACCCAGTTTAACACTAGGAAGGTCTTAGGTGAAGCGTTTTCGATATAAAGACAACAGACAATTGCAAACAAAGAAATGATAGGAGAAAATTGCTTGTTTTGCTGTTGGATATATTGATGAACATTACCTGGTGTGTATTTATATCAGTTGTTGGGTCTCTAGCTGTAGAACCACCAACGTAGCAATTGACAATGAGGTTTTTCATCATGATATTACTAGTACCTTATCGTGATTATTATGACTTTTCCCATAACGAATGTGCCATAAACTTGGGAGTAGTGGATTAGATATAAGGAGTATAAAATATTGAATTAAGGTTTGACATATTTTAGTAAAATGGCGAACAATTATGTAGCGTAGATGAAAACCATGTTGTTAGTGTAAGATGAAAACCATGTTGGTGTGATCTTAAAATATCTGGTATAAAAGAAAGAATGCAAAGACGTGTAACAAAAATGTAAGACAGAATGTATTAAAGGTTTTTAGATTGGCTGTGACTTAAATTCCCGGCATGCATTGTCTGTTAATTGAATAAAACTCGTTCCCAGGATATGGTTCCCATGGGGGGGGGGTAGGCGTTTGGGAATACAAAATTGTCAGGGTGAATATCAATTTCTCTTGTTTTCCACAACAGATCATCCATTAAAGTAGGAAATCATGCTTGTATGCCGTCAACATTATAATCAGCCCCGTATTTACTAGCCTTGACTCTGGCCATAGTTCTGAAACCATGGTGTCCATCACAGGCTTTCTCTTATATCAGATTTTAGATAATTAGCATTTTTTGTTTACTTCAAAGGGAGTGAAGTTATGTTTTTGCAACGTCTTCTTGTGTGCAAATGTCTGTGTGCGTGTCTGCCTGTGTGTTTGTTTCTGCGATTCTCAACGTTCATAATACAGCATTGCAACACATTCTCAGTGTTCTATATTTGTCCGTACGTGGGATGGCAAGGGTCGCAACGCAGTATAGATAGATATAACTGTGTGAAATCTGGCAACTCTTATTGCCTTGTTGTATCTTGGATACACACCTGTGATATAAAAGGTGTATGATGTATAATTTTTTATAGACTGTGCTATGTGAATTGAATCAGCGAATAGTACATGAATGTACATGTACATGTATGCATTGTGTTTTCTTCACTCCTATTCTTCTCTGGAGCTGGCAAATATATAACATCTGTGTCCATAATATCACCATAGTCCATAATATCGCCACCTTGAGAAAAAGATAGTTTACTGCAACATACCCTAGGTATGTACATTTGATATGTGAAGGAGTGCATACCAAAAGTATGTTGCAGTAAAATATCTTTAAGCACACTGTTTCTCAAGGTGGCAATATTATGGACCCTGCTGATATTATGGACACGGATGTTACCACAAAAGTCCACCTAGCTTCCGTCTTTGAATAAGGAAAACAATTAAGTCCATCACATACATGGTCACACAGCGAAGTTTAAAAGAAGATCACCTTGTCTCATAAGAGACTAACTAGTTCCGATAATCCCATTTGTGTGTTGCATTCTGATGCTGGGAACTGATAATCTTTTCACAGCATGTATTATTCAGGGTGTTATGGAAACAGCCTGTCTAGAGCAATTAGCATAAATGGCACAGGGGCCTACACAAAACAGAAACCGCTGTGAACAATTTTTTTTAAATCCCGAATTAAGTAAAAAAATACGATAGTTACTGATAGAAACTTAAGGTTTCTAAACCGATTGTCAGCACTTTTATTTCTACGATTTACACGTACGTCGGGTTTTAATCACGCATAGCATAATTGTTGACCCTTTTGTGCTGACGTTGCTTACTTTGGAAATAAACAATAGACAAGTTGCAGAATTACGGAAACTGTACACAACTACACTATAGAGGGGGAAGAAACCTACTTACATGTATGCCAAATATGTGACTGCTATTCTGTAGACACACGTTCAAGGTACCCTTATACCGAATTTCATATCATTTGGTTGTAATACCAGGGCTCAGGGTCCAAAATCCTTTTTTGTCGAAAATGTCCCCAAAAAACCTTCATAAAAAATTTTTCAAAGGCCTGCATCCGAACAAAAAAAGGCCTGGGGGTATTGGCCCACTCTACCTCCATGCCAAATTTCAAGTCATTTGGCTAAAAAAAATGACAGAGTTGAATCCATTTCATGAAATAGTAGGAGAAGGAGAAGAAACGTGAGAGAACACAGTGTATTTCATCCATACCATGTGGTATGGACTGAAATATAACAAGTTACAGAACTGCGGAAACTGTGCACTACCACACAAGAGGGGGGAGAAACCTGCCTCCCCCCGGCCTCCTGTTCCAAACCTAGGTCGATATCGGTTATATCTCCGTCACGTGACCCTCCGTATCGGTTTCCAATTTTGTTCCCGGGGCTAAATCAATTTCAACGCGCCGAGGTGAATACCAAATTATAATGTTTTTCGTGCGTTGGCCCCATCGCTCTCCTTTTGTAAGGCCACAGCAAGTAA